TTAAGGGTTTAGTTTTTAGGGTTTAGTGCTTAGGGTTTCGGGCTTAGGGTTTAGGGCTTAGGATTTAGGGTTTAGGGCTTAGGGTTTAAGGCTTAGGGTTTAAAGTATTGGGTTTAGGGTTTACTATCCATTTCGTGGCGGACGGGTTCATGGAAAGCCTTTGCAGTCTTGGATTTTGGGATTTAGACCCCCCCCCCGTCCAAAGACAAAAAGTCAGAGGCTTGGTGCCTCTAAACCCTAAACCCTAAACCGCTAGGTTTCAGCTTTAGGATCCTTGGTGTTTAGGAGACTGATCGCCAAGCGACTGACAAGAGCTGATCAGGGTTCAGGGTTTAGGGTTTAGGGTTTGGGGTTGGGGGTTTAATCGTTTTCTGAAGCATCGATATTCCTCAACCTTAATCCCTCAGTCCTACCAAGGCCCCAGCCGCCAATAGTCACCAAACACCATAATGTAGGGGCCTTAATAACTACCAATACTATTTTGCCTTATTCGGTAATTATAGCATAATGGGCCCAAGCCCCTATTCTAATCATTGAGGCCCTTACATTACACAGCTCATCCTGCCCTCAGTCCTACACCCGGCACCATCAAAACTAAACCTTGCCCGAAACTGAAGACACGAAGCAGGCATTCTGGGCTTAGCGTTTCCTTCGCTCTCCTTTGGTGGCATTGAGCCCTTCTTCGACCTCTGGCTGATGCTAAAGGTTTAGGATTTCGGGATTGGGTCTTAGGGTTTAGGGATGTGGTTTGCGTCTTTTAGCCCTTGGGGTTTTGTTTTGTCCTAGCACCCCTTCTGCAAGCTTCTAGAGACAAGCAACTGTTGAAAGTGCTCAGTTTGAAAAACCGTAAGCCCATAAGTCATTAAGCAGCCAAGCCGCCAGAGGGTGTAGGTTGCCGCGGTGTTCGCTGAATGTTAGGCTCCGGGGTTTATGGCGTAGGGATAGTTAGGTTCAGGGTTCAGGGCCTTGGGTTGGGTTTATCGGCTTCTGCCCATGCAGCAATGTGAACAACCTGCTCGCTTGTACCAGGGTTACCAGGGCTCCTTCAAGGGTAGCTCTATGGCATAGCGGCTTTGACAGTTAGAACACTGTAATATAGGGGCCTAAACAACTACCCATACTATTTTGGGGGTTCCTGTTTGTGATTATAGTATAACCATATACCCCAAAACCCTATTCTAATTATTAAGGCCCGTATATTCGGGTTTAGGAGTACATGTGACCACGATGAAACGGGGGAGCTCTACGGAAGAATGCTGCTCACCCTAAACCCTAAACCCTAAACCGTGGGTTTAGGGTTTAGGGTTTAGGGTTTAGGGTTCAGGCTCGGGCCCGAATGTCGGGGCTTGAGCGTTGGCTTTGCTCGGTCTTGGCAACATAGGGGCCTAAATAAGTACATACCTATACTATTTTGGGGTTCCTTACTATAATTCTAGTAGAACATACCCCAGAACCCTGTTCTAATAATTAAGGCCCCGACGCTATGACTTCTGTTTGCTTGACTTTGGCAACTCAATGACCCGCGATGCAGAACCTTGCAGAGCCCTCTTTAAAATCCGATACAGATCCCTACGGCAAGCCCTAAACCCTAAACCCTAAACCCTAAACCTAAACTTACATATATGAACCCTGAGTTGACAGTAAATACGAAGGGCGCAGATTGTTGCGAAGCTACTGCAATCCGGCCTTGTACTGCAAGATTTTGGCGATAGGGTTCAGGGTTTGCTGCCCGTGGGTCTAGCAACGGTGTCTGAACAAGCATGATGACTTCCTGCCGCTGGTGGCCCAGTGACGAACCCCAAACCCCTAAACCCTAAGCTGTCGAGACGGGTGCAGGCTCCTTGGTGGTGGCAGAATTGGCTGATCATCTTCCTGTAGCAAGATGCCACAGTAACAAGAACAAGAATCATCATCATCATCATCATCGTCATCACAAAAATGGTAATGATAGGCGACGCTGTCCGTACCTTGACTCCTACCGTAGCTGTCGCAGTAAGAGCCGAACGTGCTAGTGCTTTTCATTGTGCTGGAAACTCGTGCAGTTCGATGTCTCCACCGCACCTGACACCGCAAATAAGAATACATTTGTCGAATTGAGGAGCGCGTCATCAGGAAGAAGCGTCGCCGACATGTGAGCTGGGTCAGGACTTAGGACGTGTAGTTCATGTCAACAAAGGGGGCCTTATCGCTTAGAAGGTGGAGGGGAAGTACTTGGCCTGCGATATAGCCCAAATCCAAAAGTCATACCCCAAACCCTAAACCCTCAAAACTTTGACAATGACGAATTTAACCCCCAAACACTAAATGGTTCTCTAGACTAGGGTCCCTTTCAGGGTCCGTTGTATAGTGGCCCCCGTACTAGTTTGGGACCTAACCCCCCTAAACCCTAAACCCGAAAGTGCTGGAGTCCTAGCGAGCATAGAACTGCGTTGAAGTTATAGCCTCAGATCCCGAAATCCGAAATTCCCCTCACGTAGGGGCCTTAATAATTACCTATATTATTTAGGGCTTCCTTATTATAAGTATAGTATAATGGGCCCCAAAACCCTATTCTAATTAGTAAGGCCCCTACATTACATCCTTGCCAGTGGTTTCATGCTCGGATATAGTAATGGAGATTGCAAGTTAGATGCTTGGGGTATTTGGGTTTAGGGGTTAGGTTGAGTAAGTACTAGTTGAATTGTATTTGTGCCTGTACTCTTATTGCTACTGCTGACTACTGCTACTGCTGACTACTGCTACTGACAGTACGACGATGACGAATACGATGACGACGACGACGACAACGACGACGACTACTACTGCCACTGTTTTGACGGCCAAGACATCGACAAGGATTCCGAGGACAACGACGACCCTAAACCCTAAAACCCTAAAGCCCTAAACCCTAAAGCCCTAAACCCTAAACCCTAAACCCCTAAACCCTAAACCCTAACCCTAAACCGCCGACGCGGTTCAGGTTTTAGCCAAACCCACAGACAACGAAACAACGAAGAACTCTTTAGGGTTTAGGGTTTAGGATTTAGGCTTGAACAGTTTGAAATGATATGCCGTTTTTAGTCCCTGTAGATCATTCTACCATGTGTCTCAAAGGCTATTCTAAGCCTTCAGGCTCAGCCGAACCCACAGCCTTCAGCAAGGCACCGATCAATGCTGTTCAGAGAGCCTACGAGTACACAGCCAGTAGGGTTTAGGCTGTCGAGTGTATGTTTTTTTAAAATTGAGGTCCCAAAGACTATATTGTAGTAACTGTAACTACTGTAGTAGTTATTGTAGTGTTCATTTTCGCAATATTACTTTAGGTATTTTAGTGCTGATGTTTGTGGTTAGCGTAACAATTGCTCAAATAGTGGTTATCATACCCCAAGGGTCCCAAGTGCCCAAATAGTAGGGTTTCAAGGTCCAAAAACCATTCAGAGTATGGGTTTGGGGACCTAAAACCTTACTATTTGGGTACTCGGACCCTCTGGGATATGAGTGATCAACTCGGCCGGTCAGGTCGCTTGCGGCCTGCTAGCACGCAGAGCACTTGATCCTTCAATTCCTACGCGTGGTACTTGCATCACTGCTCGTCCTTCTTCCGAATGCCAGCCGCTACTTATAAACCCCAAACCCTGATCATATTTGCAACCCTAAACCCTAAACCCTAAACCGCTACAGTTTCAAGGGGCACTCCTCTTCCGTCTTACCAAGAATTGCAACCGCTAGTTTGCTGGACTTGTTGCAAGCTCGATCGCCAGGCTGCTGAAGAACAATGAGTTTGCCTTCTACCTCAATGCAGAAAGCAGCCGGCTCAATGCAGCACTGGTTTAGGGTTTAGAGTTTAGGGTTTAGGGTTTAGGTATTGATTTTACCTTACAGCCTCAGCTCCAAACCATGTTATTGGATCTTTAAGGGAGGGTGGCTCAAGGGGGGAGGGTCCTAGGGAGCTTTAGGGAACCTAAGGGAGTACTCGGGAGAATTGGGTGGACATGGGTAGTTCTCTAGAATAGGGTTTCTTTTTATGTCCCCAGAATAGTATGGCACCCTAATAAAAGGCACCTTAAATCGGATCCCCCTTACGGTATAGTAGGTTTTCTTAGATCAAGTAAAACATTTATAAATATCTGAGTTCATATTATATCAGACTAAACTGAATTATATTGTATCGTGTTACATCACAGTACATGAAAGCAATAAAGAATCTACTGCAGTATGGTATAATATAACATAAGACAAGATATTATAAGACAAGATAACTTAAATAGTATTATACAATAGCACAAGATAGTGTAGTGTAGTATAGTACAACATATCATGTTTCACTATACTAAACTATGTTGTAGTGAGTTATACTATATCGTTTTATCAAACTATATAATCTAGTCTATTCTGTTCTAACCTTTTCACACCTGATCTTATGTTATACTCTATGACAATATGAACTATTACACGCGTACATTCAAAAAACGCTCATCTATCCAATAGTATACGACATATGGGAGTTTCCGAAAATGGGGGACCCTAATATAGTACCCTAAATAGTAGGATCCTTATTATAAGGACCCCAAAATAAGGTATCCCTAATTTTCAGAAACTCCCAACAGGCCCTAAACCCTAAACCCTGTTAATTTATGTAATAGGTCCGAGGCCTGGCAGACCTTGAGACGCCTGAGGCTCGCAGCCGAGCGCGCTGCTCTGGGGGGGCGTGGACAAGGCTGGATCCAGGAGTGGGGTGTGGGTTTAGGGTTTAACGTAGCGAAGTCTATAGTAACCCTTTTAAAGGAACCCTTAAAAGAACCGAAGGCTGGATCCAGGATCGCACGGTTTAAGCGTTTATGGTTTAAGGTAGTCATAAGTGGGGTGTGGGTTTAGGTTTATGGTTTAAGTATGGTTTAGGGTAGTTATAAGTGGGGTGTGGGTTTAGGGTTTAGTGTGGCGAGAAGTGGGGTTAGGGTTTAGGGTTTAGGGTAGTTGTATGTGGGGTTAGGGCTTTGGGTATAGGGTAGCTACAAGTGGGGTCAGGGTTTAGGGTTTAGGGTAGCTATATGTTGGGGTATACATCCCTCAATGCATATAAACAATGTTATAACTATAGGTACCTTACTTATACACCAATCGCTAACTGCCCATGCATCCATGAATGGCTTTGGGGTGGGGGGTTGAGGGAGTTGAGGCTTAGGGTTTGGGGTTACGCGTTAGGGTTTAGGATAGGGCTTCCTGAGCCTGGCTTTCGGGATAGAGGTCTATCTATAGTCTATAGTAACCCTTTTAATGGAACCCTTAAAGGAACCCTATTCTAACTATTGAGGCCCTTAATTAATCCCTAGTACCTTATAGGGTTTATTGGGTTTCTATGAGCTTCGAGCTGAGCCACTTTTAACCCCGCTGACACTCGCAAACCCTACAGAACCCGAAACCGCGGAGCCCAACAAAGGTCCGCCCAACGGCAGGAGCTAAACCTGAAAGCCTGGAAGCCTAAACCCTTAATCCCAGACGCTCATAGAACCCCTAAACCCTAGACCCTAAGCCCTAAACCCTAAACCCTGAACCCTAAGCCATAAACCCCTAGACCCTAAACAGGGCCTCTACGAGGGAAGCATCGTCATGGTCCCCGTGGTGCTGCCGCACTATTGGGCGCTGGAGTTGGTCGACTTCAGGAGGGGCTTCGGCTTCGGGCTTCGAGGATTTAGGGTTTCGGGTTTGGGGGTCTTAGGGTCTAGGGTTTAGGGTTTGAGGGCCCAGGGCTTTAGGGTTTTGAGGTCTTAGGGTTTAGGGTTTAAGGGTTTAGGGTTTTGGGGTCTTACGGTTTACGGTTTAGGGTTTAAGGGTTTAGGGGTCCTAGGGTTTAGGGTTTAAGGGTTTAGGAGTCTTAGGGTTTAGGGTTTAAGGGTGTTGGGGTTTAAGGGTTTAGGGTGTTAGGGTTTCAGGGTTTGGGGTTTAGGTTTCAGGGTGTGGGGTGGTTTATTTTTGGTCCTGGGTGTTTGCTAGGATTTCTTGGTCTCATTGTGATGCAGGGAACAACCAATGCCTTAGCCCAGGCCCAGCCTAAACCCTAAACCCTAAACCTTTATACTCCCGAAGGAAGATTTAAGCAATGTTCGCTGTGCAGTTTCGGCAGAGAGGCCTGGAGTTTCGTGTCGTTTTTTGGTTGAGGGGGAACTGCTGCTCTAGACACCCAGGGTTTAGGGTTTAGGGTTAAGGATGTTCGGTTGGTTGTCAGGGGCTGACGTAGCCCTAAGCCCTAAACCCTGAATCCTGAACCCTGAACCCTAAACCCCTAAGCCCCTAAGCCCCTAAACCCCTGAACCCTAAACCCCTAAACCCCTCAAGAACTGGCCAGGCGGGAGCGTCCTAACCCCTCATAATTCCTCATTATGATTTTATTCTTGTATGCCCCAAAGCCCTCTTCTAATTATTACGGCCCCTAAACCCTAAACCCCCATAGTAGCCCTTTTCGAACCCTTGATGGAACCCTTGAAAGGAACCTCCAAAACCCGATGCAAACATGAAACCTTGGTCTTAGACTCACTTTGAATCCGGCACACCAGCCCCTAAGGCCCTAAGGCTCTAAAGACCCATATTTTATGGCTTTTGGGCCGAAAGACCATACTATATAAGGCTTTTGGGCCATTTTGAGACTAGCCCAAAGGCTCCATGTACCCATACAGTAGATACTTAGGCCTGAAAGTACCTATATAGGGACCCCTTTAAGGCCTAAGCATTTACTATAAAGGTACATGGAGCCTTTGGGTAGGGAGCAACCGGCAGGATTGGCAACCGTTCCCTGATGGATACTGACCACTCCGCGAAGAAATACCTGATCATCGACACAGGCTGCGCCATGGTGGTGGTTGCGGTGTTCGTTTTTGTTGGGATCTGTTGTTGTTGTTGCTGCTGCTGCTGCTGCTGCTGCTGCTGCTGCTGTGCTGTTGCTGTTGCTGCCGGTGCTGTTGTTGTTGTTGCTGTTGCTG